CTCGTTGCAGAGTGAGTACTGAGGAGGAGAAGGTGAGAAACGTCAACGGGAACCGTCAGGGCAAAGGGTCAGGCAGAGCGCCCGCCACCGCGCTCCCAGAGCTTCCCCCGGGGCCTCGGGGCACCCCCAGCTCCGAGGGGGGAAGAGGACAAACCCCGTCACGCTGAGCACGCGGCCGCCCCTTACCAGGTAGTCGTCCGGTCGGATCCCAAAGAGCTCCCGGAAATAGCGAAAGGCCACTGGGGCGTAGGTTTTGAACCGAAAGTCGTTGTAGTGATGAGCTGGCGTCAGGTTACTCCCTTCGCTGATCGAGGAGAAGCAAAACGCAAGGATTTATCTTTGAAACATTTCTTAAGAAACTGCCCTAAAAGCAAACGCCCGCCGCCTGGGCTGCTTCTACCCCGCGCCAGGGCTCGGAAGGACCCACCCGGAGGGACCCACGGGGCCACAGCCCACGGGCAGCCTGCGTTTGCTCCCGGGCCCGCTGGTACAGGCAGAGCCAGGGTTCTTCGGGAGCAGGCGGCAGCAGGAGCTCTGGGGCAGCCTCCCCGCGCGCGGGCAGCGCGAGGGACCAGTGCTGCTGCTCGCTAGCGAGGCACCACGGAGAGGAGAAAGCCAGCGCCCACCTTGGGAAGAAAATACTTTCTACTACGTAGAAATCTTGCATGAGAACGTCTCTTTCGGGTTTGGTGCTCAAGCTGCCGACCGTGTGTGTAATGCCCAGCTGAATGGCACCTTTCAAGGCAGATGATGTCGTCTGGATGGGGCAGAGAAGGCGAGTTAGTGTGGAGCCGCAGACTGGGAGTGAAAGGAGCTAAAGGAAAGAGGCCGCGGTTTCAGCCAGCACTGCTAGCCGGGGTGTTCCATGCCCGCTGGCTCCAGCTTTCCTCATTCCTTCCTCACTGAGTAACACCCGCGGCGCCAGGAACGCCTGGGAACAGCCCCCCATCCCCGACAGCACCCTACCCAGGGTCTGCACCCCGGGTGCTCCAGCAGTGAAGGACCCGAGCTGGAACCGACATCCAGCTGCTCCTTAGAAGGACTGAATTTCATTTCGTCCTCCCCCAGCACTCCCCTCTACATCCCGCAGTCAGGGCGGGGACGCAGGAGACGCGCTTCTTGTCACCCTGGCACCATACGCTCCGACACGTGCGCTCCCCAGCCCGCGCAGGCTCAGCTCTTGTACAGGATGAGGCAGGGCCAACGCGCCCCCCAACACGCAACCCCGCCACGTTCCCCCTCCTGCCTCCCTTGCTCGGGCACAGCTCTTTAACCCAGGGAGGCCGCTGTCGGATTTAAATAAGGAGTAAAGACACGAATCCTGCTCCTGCAGCGCCCAAGAGCAACGCAGGGCTGTGTTCTTGTGACAGCGACTCCAACCCAGCGCCCTCCTCTGCCTGCAAAACTCAGGATCTCATCGCAGCCCGGAGCGACGGCCCGGCTGCCCCCGAGGGGCCAGGACTAGCCCTGCCGGCCAGCCCGCCGGCTCGGGGACCCGAGCTCTGCTGTAAGACCTGCTGGAATCGCTGCGGCCGCGGAGCAGGTGCAGCCGGGATTTGTGCAGCTCAGGGACGTTTCACTTGGCCCGTACATAAAGCAACTGGACCCAGAACAAGATCCGGGGCTCACGATCCCACTCGTTGGCGTTTGTCCCCTTAAGCCGAACAAAGCCCAGCCCCCTGCCACACGCAACAAATCGCTGCAGATCAAAGCGTTTGGCAGAGGACACCGCAGTATCTGGGGAACAAACATTTCAAGGGTTGTTTGGTTTTTTTTTTTCCCCCCAGACACGCATCCTCCGTGAAGCTTGTCAAACGAACGGGAACGTTTCTCCCACTTAATTGCTTTTCTGTTCTCACAGCTGCAAAGGACCCGCTCGCAGCTCCCCGGGGAGAGCGCAACAAAATCTGGCAGTAACTCCAGCGTGTCAACAACGTCCTTTTCTGCTTCAGGTACCTGTTTGTATCTGATATTTACTTCGAAGGAGGAAGAACTTGACTCCGCTTTCCTTCCTTACCCTCTAAAGGCTAAAGCTGCTTGAAAACAGATCTCAGCTCACCTGGCCCTGCTTAAACTCCCAGGACAGTCTCACTGTTGAGAAACAGAACTTACCAACAGCGCAGCACTGCTGCCTTGTTTGTGAACACAGAGCCACAGGGCCAGGTTGCCAAGGAACAAGTATTTTTCTCTTTTATTAGCCAGCACGATCAGCTGAGCAGCTGCCTGCCTGTTTACGGTGGCTTTTATAGGGCAAAGAATTCTAAAAAACAACTTAGCACTGCTGGAGAAAAAGGGGCTGGAAAACAGACAGCCCGTCCTTGACTCTCGTTCCCAGATAAACCCCACGCAGTGTCCCACCAGGTTTCGGGGACGCTTTTTTCAGGCATTTTCCACTGGCTCCTCCTTTCCTCTCCTATCGCTGCTGTCTAACCTTCTGCCTCTGAATCTTCTGGGCAACTGAAAGCCAGATCCCCATCCTGACGACACCAGCAGCTCCCACAAGGGCAGTGTAACGAAACCCTGTGAATCCCTCCCTCCCACTCCGATTCCCCGCAGACAGACAGAGGTACCTCCGCATCAGAGATTTCAGAGCAGAAGCTTCCCTTACACAAAGCAGTGAAACGCCCAAATCAAGCCATTACCCCTTTCATCTACACCCTAGAAGTCAACCTCGCTTCAAAGCAAGTCGGCCCAGTCTGATGAAGTCCAACAAACGGGAAGCAGCATCCACAAAACACCCACATTTACAGGCCTCTTAAAAATACCCGAACAATCGCCCCTTTGTAAAGCAAATTCCAGTAATGCCACAAGATCTATAGACACCATTGTGCCCAAAGAGCACAGAAAGCACCCAACAAGCCAGCAGAGGCCTAGGAAGTGTTGCCAATGGGTAAAGTTTAAAAATAATCCCCTCTTTGGAAGGGTACAGAAGAGAAGCCAAGCAGCACGTGTTCAGGCCTTCGGTTCCTTTCCTCCAAGATCTTCTGCAGCGACCGGCACAGTCCTCACCCACCCCCTCACGCTGAACCTCGCGACAGGCGCCGCAGCCCCAGCGAGGAGGAGGATGGCGACAGTCAGATGAGCTGTGAGAGGGGCAACTCACCTTTTTATAGGTAGTCTCGCCCGTGGAGTCCACTCCTCTGTGCCCTTTCTTTATCGTCTGCGAGCCTGGCTGCCCAGAACCACCCGGCATCTAGGATTGGAGCAGAAGTGGGTAAGAACCGAGGAGGTAAAACCCGAGGTGGCAGAGGGCTGGTGGCTCCCCAGAGCCCCCCGGCACGATTTTCTGAAAGGTGGAGGCTGCGAAGTGCGCCCTGCTGAAGGGAGGACACAGCACTGAAATGCCTTCAGAGAACCAACCGACCCCTGCGTGACTGCGGCCAGAACTCTAACTAGAGAGAAACACCTTGATGCAAGACCACCTGCAGGCGTTTGCCTTTTCCTGGCCACCAAAGAGACCAGCTCAAAGAGAGTCTGGACCAACCGCAGGCGGTCACCGTGCCTCCTGCCAGGCAGGGTACAAGTCTTTGAGGAAACACTGTAGGAAGGTGGCAAATTCTACTCTGATTCATGCCACAAGAGCTCGCTTGACTCATCGTCTTCCGTCTAACACACGCGGTTGCTAAATGGTGTTTCTCAGCCAAAACGAGCTGAACGTCTTGCTCGCGGCAGATCGACGCGGTGCTCTGGTGGCAGGGGAGTTGTTCACTTCCAGACACGCTGGGTTTTGAAGCAGAGATCCCCCGGGTAAGGAGAAACGCTTCCGTTTCCCAACCGACCCCCGCTGCGGCGTCCTGCACTTACTGCTGCCCGCTTCACCCCCGGTTTGAACGCGATCCAAAACCAGCCGACAAGGCTGACATCGTGCATTCTCTCAGCCAGGGAGCAAACCAACGTGTCGGTCAGAAACTTACCTCAGGGGTGAGCGACTTTTTGAATGTAGACGATCCTGTCAAAAGAATAAAGCCACACTCAGAAAGCCTTCATCGATATTACGCATCACAAAAAAGCCTGACACACCGCCTCGGTTCCAACCAACATCTGAAGGCATCTGAAAAAGCACTGACTCACGGCCGATTTCTTCCCGGCTTCTCCTCTTACAGCAGCGAGAATTTTTGTCAAGACACAAAGAAATGCCGTTCTGCTCCCCCCTTGCCAAACTCAGCTCCGTGGCGGCGCCAGGGGCTCGGGGCTGCCAGGCAGACACCTCCGAGGGCACCCGCACCCCCCTGCCCTCGCCCAGCCTCAGGGCGTCGCGGGGTTACTGCTGCCTGCTCCTCAGAACCTTCCAGATGCACTGACCACATCTCAAAATTATTTCCAAACCTTTTAATAAAAGGCCCAGAAGATCAACCCTTCTGCTCGAAGCCAAGCCCAGGGATTTTTGTAACTATCGTGCTGTTAAATATCTGCGAGGTGATTAGCTTTTATCTTTTAGGCCTGGATTCCCATCTTGGGGGGGGGGGGTTTGGTGCAGTAAGGAGAAAAAAAAAAAAAAAAAGCAATTAGATGACACCAGCCCTCTGCAATGTCCCTCCACCCCACAAAGGCACCAGCCGGACCGAGCCCAGAGCTCCCAGGACAGGGACGCTGCCCTCACCAGCAAGACGCGTAAAACAGGGACGGGCCTTCTGCCTCCAGCCCAGGAAAGCAGACAAGCTCTTTCATTTTGTTTTTCTTTCCATTTCAGACACGGCAACTCTTTTTATTTTTTTTTTACATGGGAGCCACGACCACAGCCTTACAAAACCGCCCCCACCCAGGAGCGACACCCGCGTCACACCACGGAGCAGGCGCAGGGCTGCTTCCCCCGATGGCCAGTAATTGTTTTCCCAGATTAAGCATTACTACATAAAATCCTTCTGGGTCCACCCACCGCTCGCTCAGCGGAGAAGCCCCTTCTGCTCGCCTGTTCCAGGCGGTGTAAAGACTCACGCTGTGATTCCATCAAGCGCCACAGCTCGACAGAAACCCCGTTTCAGCAAAAGGAACTGAGGCACTGAACAGCAAAACCCAGCAGCTTTCTGATCCGCTTATCGAGCGATCAAAGTTCTCGTTTCAATACATATTAAACAAACAAACAAGAAGAAAAATCTGCGACAAACACTTTTTGCTGAACAAAGCGAGCGCGGAAGGACGGGCTCCAACTGCCCCCCCACCCCCTCTCATCTTCCTTTAAAGTCAAGTTTGTCCCCACAAGCTCTAATTTTTGTTTTTGAAGTTTCTCACGGCCAGCTCTCCTCCTCCTCCTCCAGGCACACTCGGCCGCCCCACTTCACCCCTGGCGTCCCTTCCCTCTTCCCCTCACCACCAGCCCCGATTTGGGATTTCTCCAGCTAGAAGGAAGCTCCTGTGACTTTGCATGTCACGGCAAAATTGATAAAGCTCGACTCCATCACCTTGCCACAAGCCTCCGGAACTTGCCAAGCTCCATCAGGACACAGGGACGGAGGAAACATCCAATATAACGTGTGTTCAATAGCAATTA